GGGCGCTCTCGCCAAGCTGCACCGAGGCCTCTGAGGGCTCGCGGGGGGGCGGGAAGGGGAGTCTCCACTCGCGTCGGTCCCCTACTCACCGAGCCCTCCGCGCTGGGATCCGCAGACGCCGCCACAGAGGCCACCCCGGCGGCGACCCGGAAGTACTACCTAGGGTCCGCAACTTCGCGCTACGGAAACTGAGAAGGGCCATATATTTTACCCGCAGCGCACCACCAAACTCTCGCGAGAGTTGTCTGTGGGCGGGGCGAACCGGAAGCCCTGGGTATGATAAAGGAAACCTGGGTCGGAACTCCGGCCAGACCCGGCGAAGAGCAGCGGGACCTCTCCTCGTGTGTCGCGTACTGCTTTCGGGAGCGGGGATGCTGGGTCCAGCCTAGATACCTGGAGGCTCTTGGGGTGCTGGGGGCGGGGCGCGCTCCTTCCGAGCCCTCCGGGGCCCTCACGATGGAAATGAGAGGCCAGAGCTGGGGTCGTGCCGCGGCAGGAAGCAGGAAGCCAAGCTGCCCTCAGAAAACATTTCAGGACATGGTGGCGCACACCAGTAATCCCAGCTGCTCAGGAGGCTGAGGCGGGAGGAGCACGAGTTCAAAGTCTGAGCAATGTAGTGAGACCCTGTCCCAAAAATTTAAATAAACAAATAACTATTTAAAAGAGCCGAGGGACTGGGGATTTAGCTCAGTGGTTCCGCTGTCTGCCCTGTAAGCGCAAGGACCCGAGTTTGATCCCCGGTACCAAAAAAATAAAAGGGGCGGGTTGTAGCTCAGTGGTAGTGTTTGCCTAGCATGTGCGAAGCCCCGAGTTCACTCCCAGTAATGATAAACAGCAACAAACGAATAAGAAGATAATTCAGGTAAACGATTGTCTACGGTCATCCAAGTAGAGCAACCCGTCTGTGAGATCCTGAAAATGTGCTGTAGTTTGGTTTCCTGAACTGAAGTAATGCCCACCTTCACACCTTTTTTTTTTTTTTTTTTTTTTTTTTTTGGTTCTGGGCTTGAGAAAGGGTCTTGCTCCGTAGCCCAGGCTAGTCTTGCACTCACAATGATCCTCCTGCCTCAGCCTCCTGAGCGCTAGCACTTTAGGGGTGTGCCATCATGTCCAGCTTGATTTTGTTTTGTAATACCGGGACTTGAACCCAGGAGCTACTGAGAAACATCCGCTACCCCATTTTTAAATTTTGAGGGTCTTGCTAACTTGTCCACACTCCTTCAACTAGCAGTCCTGCCTAAGCCTCCTGAGTAGCTGGGGTTACAGTTGCACCACAGGGTCTGGTCTAATGTTCCTAACGAGCGCCTCCAAAGTGTGTGAGCTCTCAGTGAGAGGCTGAGGAGTCAGGAGGATCAAGGTTCTAGCCCAGCGTGGGCAACTTTGTGTTTTAGTGAAATCCTGTCTCAAAATGTTAAAAAAAAAATTTTTTTTAAGGGCTGGTGAGGTAGCTCAGTGCAAAGGCCCTGGGTTTGATCAGTATTGGGGGTGGTGAACAATTTATTTGAAGAAGCAAAAATCAAAGGCTGTCAGGCAATGTCCCAAAACATTGGGATCTCATTTTGTGCAGTAAATGTGTTCACAGAGGTGAGAAGGGTCCGAGAGACCCCATCCCCTGGAGTTTAATACTTCACTGGTGATCCACGATGAAGAAGGCTGTGGGTGCGGGTGTGTGTCTGTAATCCTTCCCTTCAGGAGGCTGAGACAGGAGGATCACTGACAAATAGAGATCAGCCTGGGCTACATAGTCCACGGCAAGCCTGGACTACAAAGTGGAGACCCTGTCTCAAAAACAAACAAACAAACAAAGCTATGAAGAGAAATCTAGCAGAGTAAGGAACTATGGGGGGCAGGAAGGGAAAGCTGCTATTCCAGGGGAACAACAAAGACCTGAAGAAGGAGATGGAATCAGGTTGAGGAAAGGCGAATTGATACAAGACAGTCAGTGCAAAGGCCCTGGGTCAGAAGCAGGGGGGCATGCCGTGGAGGAAGGTACAGAGTGCTGTGGATGAGGATGGAGGGGAGGCAGGGCCAGCCAGCAGAGGTCTCAGGGACCTTAGGGAAACCTGGGTCATACTGAGTGGGGATGCTGCAGGAGGAATATAGAGCACAGATGTGATCGGGCTGTTTTTGAGACAGGGGCCAGATTGGCTTTCAACTTACAGTGATCCTCCTCCTGCCTCAGCCTCCCAAGTGCTGAGGTGACAGGAGTGCATCACCACACCTGGCAGACTTCCACTTCCTGAAATGCCATTCCGACTGTACTGTGTAAATGTTACTGTGATGGCCGGGGTGGCATCAGAAAAGCCAGTGTGATGACTGCTGCGGTACCCAAGGAAGGTGGGGAGGGGACGGTGACTGCTCAGGTGCTCTGGAGACAGAAGGCAGCTCTGTCTGCTGGTGGATGGGGTGAGAACCAGGGTGGAGTTGTACTCCAAGGGCCTTGGAAAAGGGAGAAGTCTGGGGAAATGGAGAAGATCAAAGGAGGAGTGAGCATCTCCCATCAGGAATTGGATGCTTTGTTTTGTTTGAGATGGGGTCTGTGTAGCTCAGGCTGGCCTCCAACTCGTGATCTTCCTGCCTCAGCCTCCTGAGTGTCTGGATTAAGGTATGCACTATCCTATCGTGCATGAGCAGGCATTACTGCTGAGTGGGCAGGAGGACACACAAGCCTGGGGGGGCCATCGGCATAGAAGTGGTATTTCAGCTGGGCGTGATAGCCCACACCTGTAGTCCCAGCATCTGGGAGGCTGAGGCCTCGAGTTCAAGGCCAGCTGGGGCTCCATAGGGAGACCCTGTCTCAAGAAATAAATAGTATCTGAAATCATGCAACAGTGGGAGGCTTCTGTCACACCTGGTGCTCACCCTGGCGACCTTGTGAGCACATAGGGCCACTCTCAGAGGTGCGCAGGGACAGCTGGGGTGGGGCAAATCCCATGCCTCAGAAACTCCAACCACGCTGGGCAGGTGCACCGGGAGGCTGGCGGGGCGTGGGTTGAGGCCCCTTCCTCTGAGGGCACAGAGCACAGCTGCCTTCATCACAATCTTGTGTCCCAGCCCTCACTCCCACGGGCTCCTCTCTCCACCTGCCAAGTTCTCTGCCCCCCCCCCGGACCTCCGCCAGCCCTCCACGGGAGTGGGGACAGCTCAGGCCTGCTTCCCTGTGCCCCTGCAGGCTGGGAAGAGCCCCAAGCCCTGGCCAAGCATCCTGGGAAAGCTGCCGCTGTCCTGCGGGACCCTGGGCAGGGCCTGCCATGCTCTTTGGACCAGGGATCGAACTCTGGTCCTTGTGCTTGTGAAGCAGGCACTGGAACCACTAAGCTAAATCCCTGGCCCGGGGCTACCCTGCTTTGATTCCTTTAGCAGTGCTCCTGTTTGTGGTCAAACAATATGGTGAATGGTTAGTTTTGTTTGTGAGACAAGGTCTCCCTGTGTAGTCCGGGCTGGCTTCAAACTCCTGGTGATGCTTCTGCCTCGCCTCCCGAATGCTGGGATTACGGGCGAGAGCCACCAAGCCCGGCGCTGCCCCTTCTTTCTTTTTCTATTCCGTATTGGGATATGAACCCAAGGGCGCTGCACGGCTGAGCTACCTACATTCCAGTCCCTTTTTAAAGTTTTACTTTGAGACAAGGTCTCCCTGAGGGGCTCAGCCTGAGCTCGGACTTGGCAGTGCTCCTGCCTCAGCCTCCGCAGGCGTGTTCACCGCGCCGCTGCACCCGTTCCTCCTCCACCCCCGGTCCACCTGGAAAGGTCCCTGTGGTCACACACTGATAGTGCAGAGAACTGCGGCTTTATTATCTCAGGCCTAGCTGCAGCCCCAATCCGCAGGGGAGGTGGGTCAGAGGCCAGGGCCCTGCCCCGGTGGGCGGGGGCAGCCTTCACAGGGGGCGGCGCCCGGCACGGAGCCTCCCGACTCCCTGGACCC